AGCAGACGATTTCATCTTTCTCCCACGGAGTGGCTGGGTGGGTTTGAACAGTCCACCTCTCAGTCAGCAGCTGACACTTTAAACACTGCTCCACCAGGCCTCCTATGCCAATGCAGAGTATGGTAAAGGGGACGGGACGCCCCTCCTATGACTAGATTACAAACAGACTCACCTTGCACTCTGCTCTCTGCCCTCAGGCCATCTGGTGAGCCAACTCAGAGAGGGGCCCACCTGTCGAGGCACCTCTGTGACAAGCCAGTCCTGGCAGAATTCTCTTCACCCCGACCTGAACCCTCTAGTCGCAGAAGGTAAGGTCTCAGGAAAGACTCTCCTAGGATACAGAGTGCAGCCCACCTCCAGGTCTGGGGCTACGTGAGTGGGCGAGGAGCCAGCCCGAGTCCAGCACCCAGTAAGCAAGGCTGACATGTGCTTCCTTAGTCATGTGTGGTCAGTCAAAGATGGGGAGAGATCCACGTATTCAACCCAGGTGGTGGGGTAATCCCATCCCTGCCAGGGGCTGTAAATGGGAAGAGATTTGATTTGTAGGAAGGGGCTGTGGGCTGGGAGAGAGACTGATGAGGTGAAAATGTGACATCGTTCCTACAGGTGACTAATAAGCACTGGCAGCCATATTACCTTGATTATAGGACACGCCACCCCTTTCAGGACTGTGAATTTGAAGAGACTGGTTCTCTAGGAAGAGCTGTGGGGTTGGCAGAGACAGATGCCAATTAGATGTAGGAGCGGCACCTCAGATGTACTGAAAGGTTGCTCAAGTGGAACCATGGGCTGGCACTGTAGGACCAGCTCTGCTAACCACAAGGTCGGCGGTTCAAACCCACCTGCAACTCCTAGGAAACCCTATACAGGGTCACTATGAGTTGGAACTGAATTGAAGGCACTTACCAACAGGTAAGGAGCTCTGGTAGCATAGTGGTTACGATCGGGCTGCTAACCTCAAGGTCGGCAGCTCGAAACTACCAGCCATTCTGCGGAAGAAAGATGAGGCTTTCTGCTTCCGTAAAGATTTACAGTCTCAGAAACCCTGTACAGGGTCGCTATGAGTCGGAACCGACTCCACGGCACTAAACAACCAACAAATGAGTATGTAGGTGAGCACCTGTAGGCCCATGCTGACCTTTCTTTCTGTGTACTCTGTTCCAGACCTGGACGTGAGCATTTTCCCTTTCACCTCTCTAAGCGTGCCTGCAGTGGCCAGACTTGACCAACCCTGGGCTCTTCTCTGACCAGTAGGTGTAATGACAGTGAGAACAGCGCCCCCTAGCGCCCCTTCTGGACGGGTGTCTGGACTTGTCCTCCTGGCTGTCCTCAGAGTAGGCTGCAGGGTGGACATCTCGCCCTGGGAGGGGAGAGCCCGCTTCTTTTTGGACCGTCCACCTGTCTGTTAGTGGAGGCTTGTGTCCTGCTAGGAAGCCCAACAGGTTTCTACAGAGAAAATCAGCCAATGAAAGCCCATGGATCGCATTCCCAAGCGGTCATGACGCTGTTTCCTTTCACTGTGAACACAGTCAGGGGCTGGCTACATACCACGAACAACAACAACAACAACAACACAGTGGGCTAAAAACGAACACTCCGGGGACCCACAATCGCTGCACCAAACCTTCAAACTTTTCTCCACGACGTCGCTTTCAGCCTCTGTTACTACTTGCGTATTTCACAGTTTGGACTTTCTTTCTTTTCAGGAACTTTCACCTGGAGATGAGCTTTCAACAGTGACCTTAAGCTTTTGTTTTGTTTTTATAAGTATTTCCTTTATTAAAGTAATATGTGTGGTGGGAGCAATGTGGCTTGGGAACAACAGGTGAGCATCGCAAAGCCTGCCCTGGCCCAGCTGAGGTGAGTACAGGCAATTCTCCAGGGTGGGGGCAGGGAAGGGCATCGCCCAGCCAGTAGGTTAGTACAGGTCAGTTCTGAGAGCGTGGGGGGCTGGGCAGCAGGTGTGGGGCCTGCAGAGGATTCTGGGCTCTGACACTGGCCAGCTGGGCCATTCAACCCACGTCTTCATCAATCCCCACCCGCCCTGAGCAGGGGCAGTCCAAAGCCCTGGGACCTCAATAGAAGGTGGGCTCCTTCTCTCGAGGAACCGAGGCTGGGAACTCAGCAGGACACTGGCTCGGTGTCCTCTGCTGGGGCCAGAGGGCTCAAAATGAACCAAGCGCTGGGCTGAACCTCATGCCAGTCCAGGGAGGAGGGGGTTCTTGGTGGAGGGTCCCCAGTGTGTGGCTGGTGGGAGTGGACCGCAGAAGTTCAGACTCCGAGGCTGGACCGTGGGACAGCTCATGGACTCTGTCCAGAAGGAGACAAAGCTGAGGGTGGGTGGAAGCTGACCACGAAGGGGGTGGGGTGGGGAGGAAGGAGCATGGGGGTCTTAGACATTTCAGCTTTCAGACCTACGAGATGAGTACCTGGAACGCAATTAAACATATCTGGTGGCTCTGAGGGTTAGGCACTGGATTGACAACTGCATGGTCGGCGGTTCAAACCCACCGGCTGCCCCTCAGAAGAAAGATGAGCCGTGGGCCCCAAGGAGCTGCTGTTGGAATCCACCCCACGGCTGTGTTTTTTTTTTTTTCCTTTCCTTTTGGTATTTATTGTGGGACAATTAAAAATTGATGAGAAGTGCCCGGGGACCTGCCCTCCCAGGTGAGAGAGGCACCAGCCAACCCACGCCACCTGGAAGAGGTCAAGTAGGGCCAGCTGAGCTGACGGCAGCACGAGGTCCCCTCGGTGTTTCCAAACCGGACAACAGGGGGCGCCAGAGACCGCCTAATCTCAGCTTCTCTGCAGACGGCCGCAGTGGAGGCCTCCCGGCAAGAGGGGACAGCCCCCACCACCAGCGCTTCCCTGAGGAGGCCTGCAGCCCCCTTTGCCCCTGCCCAGGTCACACGGGAGGCGGTTAGGGTGACCTTTGTCCACCAGGCTCCTCCGGGTGTGAGCAAACAAGAGCCTTCTTGTTTCTCTAAGAGTGAGGGGTGGGCGGGGCAGGGCCAGCCGGGAAATCTAACCCTTCAGTGTCCTCACCTGGAGCCACTTCAAACACACCAGCACCTGAGCCCCCTTCTGAGCTGGGAGGTCGTGGTCTGGAGGTCATCTAAAAGCCCTGGTCTGCTAGCATCTCCCGGAACTTGAGAGAAATGTAGATTCTTGGGGCGGTCAGGGCGACGTGGGACTTGGGGACCTGGTTTGAACAAGGCCTCCAGGGACTAGCCGGGGTTGAGCCGCGTGGGATCGGAGTCAGGTGCTCTTGTCGGTCGGGGTGCAGCCGGCCTGCTGGGTCAGGAGCTGCTGTGGCCACCGCTCCAGGGGTCCACAGGAGTCCTGGGACGTCCCAGAGAGGCTGCTCCTCACCCACAGGTGCAGAGGAGCAAGGGGACTGCAGGGGTGTCCTCCAGGTAGGGTCCTCCAGGTGTGTCCTCCAGGTGTGTCCTCCAGGTAGGGTCCTCCAGGTGTGTCCTCCAGGTGGGGTCCTCCAGGTGTGTCCTCCAGGTGTGTCCTCCAGGTGAGGCCCTCTAAGTGGGACCCTCCAGGTGGGATCCCCTAGGTGAGGGACCAGGGAAGGTCATGTTCAGGCCTGAGAGGGAGTGTCCTGAAAGTCTCAGGAAAAGAGGGAGAGGGTAGGGGTGACAGGGGGGAGGTGTGGTGGTTAGGGAGACTTGGATGTCGACCCAGAACACACAGGGTGCTCACTGTGTGCCCCTAAAAGATGTGTTGACGTTCTGCCTCCTGATGCTTGTGAATCTGAGCACGTTTAGAAGTGGGGTCTCTGAGGGTGTCATCAGTTCATATCAAGTCCTACCAGAGTTGGAGGGCCCAGTTCCATCTGAGTGGTGCCCTATGAAAGTGGAGGAAATAGGTCACGTGGTTCCAGAGCCGAGACAGACAAGAAAGGCTCTTTCCTACAGTCTCCGAGGCAGTGGGACCCTGTGGTTGGGTGCCAACTCATCCGGACCTTATGCACCCACCGGTCCCCAGATATATGGCTCCGTAAGCAGGCCTGCTGCACCCCAACAAGAGCACTTGCCTCAGATGTATGGCTTCTGATCTGGGGACCAGACACCTGCCTTGAGCACTGACTCCTACTGCCACTAGTGCACAGGGGCCTGTGGACAGTGCTGTGTGTTTCTAGGGCTCATGGCTCCCCAAGGGGCTTGTCACAGTTCATCCCAGGACAACACTGGTCCTAACTCAGGATGGCCTCTGGTGGTACAACCATGCTCAGCTGCTTCATGAAAGGTGTGAGTCCAAGCAGAGGTGCTTCCCAAGAAATGCCAGGTGATCTATAAAGATTCCAGCTTAGAAAGTTCTCCAGAGCACAGTCCTACAATGACACACATGGGGTCGCTGTGAGTCGAAGTTGACATCATAGTAACTTCTTGTTTAATTCCGAAGGGGACAGTGTCAGCCTGACCAACTGCTGGACTTCCAGCAAGACCCCCTTTGGAGAGGAAGCTGGGTGTAGTTCAAAGAGTGGCATTTACTTAGGAAAGTTTTAGAAATCGCTTTCCTTCTCTGTCTCAGTTTGATCTGGGACCAGACTCCAACTGAGACGCTGTCATTCTACTGCCAGCTGGTGGCAGGAGCTCACAGTCCTCCAGCGGGGATGGAACACGCAGGTTGATGTTTCTGAAGGTGATGCTTCCTTCCTGGTTCCCGGCCCTTTTAAAAAGAGGGGCCTGTGATCTAGCTCAGATGTCCTTCCAGGGTGAGCAGCTGAGACTGGGTCAGGACACTGCCAGGTAACCCACAGCAGTGGAGTGGGATTTCTCAGGACGCTAGAGTTAATAGAACCGATGGAAGGTGGGCTTCAACCTTAGTAGAGAGGTGGGAAAACGACAAGAATCACCAAGAACAGGCTCCAAGCCTGTCCTTCCAGGAACAGGGGCTGTTTTCTCAGTTTGCCTGTTAATGGGTACCCAGAAAATCGGGCCCCTGTTCCTCTTGCAGGTGAGAGCCAAGATACAGACAGACTTTGCAGGATGAAGGCTGACCTGCTGCTTGGGCTGATGCTCTGCCTCCTGATGGGGCTCCTGGCAGGTGAAGTGGGGTCTGCTCCCCCACGCCCTCCCCCTGGGCCAGCCCTTGGCTACCTGCAGCTGGTGGGAGGCAGGGGTGAGGTCCCTTTGGGTGACAAGCTCCTCTTCCCTGGCAGGAGCCAAGCCTGTGCCGGAGGAGATGGGTAGGTATCCTCCTGGTCCCTTCCCTCAGCTTGGGATGCACTGCAGTGTTTGAGCACAGAGCAAGACCAGGGAGCTGCGGAGAGAGCAATCCTGTCCTGAGCAGACAGACAGGAGCCCTGGGACAGACACCTGTCCCCACCTGATCCCCACCTGCCTTTTCTTGGGCCTGAACATAGTCCTGTCTCTCCTGGTCCTCCAGTGATTCAGGGACACCTTAGAGCTCACGGTGCCCCTGGCATTGCCACCATCAGACCTAGGTTTCTGCTTTCCTGTGGCCCCATCCCTTGAGTCCTGATCCAAACCATCACCAAGTGTATTGGTGCACAGTGTCCCTGAGACCCTGTGCCCGGGTCCCTGTGCTCCATCTGAAATCCTGTTGGGTTGCTATCCCCACAGCACTCTGACCCCACAGCACCCCAAACAGGAGGAGCGTGGGGTGGGGTGGGTACAGGCCTTCCCAGCCCCTCCTGGACTTCCCCTGCCCCCTCTCGTGTCTTTCTCCCTCCCCTCCCTGTCTTCTCTGTCTGCAGATCAGGAGTCCCCAGCTGTTCCTCAGGTGGTCTAGGTGTCTGAACACCCCACTGCATGTACATGGGCAGGCTGAGTAGGTGAGGGAGCTGCCCTGTGCCAGCCCTCTTGCCACGGGTGGCCCGGCCCAAGACAGACTGCTGTTTTCCAGACCCCTATGCCGAGCAGCCAGCCTGGCCCTACTGGACCTACTCCACCTCCGACTTCTGGAACCACGTGCAGTACCTCCAGTCCCTGGGGGCCTACCCCCAGCTTGAGGACCTAGCCCGCACCTTCTTCGCCCACTTCCCCCTTGGGTCTACCCTGGGCTTCCATGTCCCCTATCAGGAGGACTGAAGGGACCCTGCCTGGGGCCGGGCCTGACCTCCTCCAGTCGGTGGGCTCCTCCGTCACGGCTGTGTAACAGTGGGGGGCTGTGAGGGTGGACCTGCCCTGCTTAATAAACGCCTGGCCTAAGACACAGCGGACTAGATGCTTTGGGGGTTTCTTTGAAGGAACAGCTATGTGGGTCCCATTCCCTTTGTCACTGCGTGGACTCACTGGGCAGGGCTTCATTTTGATTGCAGATGACCACTTCCGTTTCTGTCCCCAGACCGTCAGCCCTGGCACCTCATCTGACCCTCACACAACCCTGCAGGGAGGCAGTGCTACTGTCTGCTTTTTAGGTGGGGACACTGAGGAGCTGGTCTGATTTGCTAGGAGGTGAAGCTGGGTGGATGGGACCCAGACCCCTGCCCTTAACCACAAGATGGACAGCAGGAAACCCCACCACCCTTCGCCGACACCCTAGGCCTGGCCTGGCTCTGTCTGGCAGCCAGGCCTCTCAGTTAAAGCATCAGGAGGAGAGCAAGAAGAGACCATGTCTGGCAGGAAGAAGTGGGGGCCTGGGTGTGCCCAGTTGGTGAAAGGAAGGTCCCAGAAATCGGTGCTCCCACGCTGGTCTTGTGCGGGGTAGGGGGTGGTGGTGGGGAGGGTGTTAGTGGTCCTGGGCTCTCCATGGGGCAGAGCTTTCACAGAGTCTCAGCAAAGATTGTCTTCATTGCCCGCTCTACAGGTAGGGAGCATCCCACAGACAGGTGTGCCAAAAGGTGCTGGAGAGACTGCAAGTCATGACCCAGTAACCAAATCACCCCCACTGCCACCCAGTCCATTCAGACTCAGGGACACCCCTCCTAGGGCACCTGAGGCTGTAAACCCTTCAGGGGGACCCGGCCTCAGCTTTCTCCTGCCACCATTGTGACTCATAGCCCACGAGGTGGCGAGGGCCTTGATTTAAAGGGTTCAGTTAACCGGGGTTCAACGATTCCCTGAGGGCCAGGACCCTCAGAGTGATGGGGTGCAGCTGGCTGGCTGGTGCATATCGGGTGAGATGGGGCTCAGAGGTAGGCTTTGGGGTGACAGCACTGGAGGGGGGGTACGTCCTGCCCTCTCTGGTGAGCTTCACAAAGGGTTGTCATGAGTGGGCGTGCATGACAACTAACAATAGCAATGTCACTCGTATCTTGATTTCATCCGCATCAGGCACTGGGGAGTGGGTTTGTGGAGGCCACGCCCCTCGCCTCCCGGTCTTCTCCCAGCTTCTCTGTGTTTAAAGGCGAATATTGCAAACACAGACCCGTATGTGAGCCGCACGGAAAAGTGTGGCTGTGCGCGGCCCCCGGCCCCTCTGGACACGAGCGGCCAGGACAGCCGGCCAGCTAAAGCTTGAGTCGTCCGCCCAGCGCTTTCCAGCCGCCAGGGGACCATAGAGTCGGCGGTCCTCCGGCGTCTAGCCCTACCGCGGTCGCGCACCGGAAGAGGTCGCTGCGGGCGGAAGTGGCGGCTCCAGCCGCCGCGGGTCGCGATGAAGCCGGCGGTCGACGAGATGTTCCCCGAGGGCGCTGGGCCCTACGTGGATCTGGACGAGGTCTGACGGCGGGGTGCGATCCCCGAGGGAGCAGGGCGAGCCCGACTTAGGACCGCTGCCTGGCCTTCAAGCCGGGAAGGGGAGCAGCTTCTGGGGGTCGTGAAGGGCGAGGAGTCCCGGGTAGATGAAACACTCGGCCCAGCGCTTGCGGGTCGGAGCGCCGCCCCCAACCTGGGGGGTTATCCCAGGCAGCAGGGGTGATAGTTTGAGGGGAGCAGGTGCCCTCAGGCCTAGAAACCTTCAGGGTTGGTCCCGGACCGAGGGCATCACCCTGCTTCATTCGTGGAAGCAAAACTGGAGCAGAGTGACCTTTGTAAACTGTGTGTGAGCCAGAATGGGCTTAACTCCCCGGTAGGAAACCCAGGCAGCGTGCGCGTTGCGTAGCAACCGAAGCTCCGGCCGGCGGAGTCAGAAGCCACTGTGCCCCGCTCAAAGATGGCGGCCGTGCGTTCTGGAAGGTGTGTGCCTGGAGGCAGCTCGGCCACGTTGGGGGCCTAACCTGTCCAGTTAGCGGGCAGCTGCAGCCAGTTGCACACACTGCCATTGGCTCCCATTTTACTTCATGACTGAAGCGGTTTGGGGCCTCGGGGGTTTGACCTTCGCTAGGTGATTAGGTGGGAGCTTGGGGAGTCAGGGGCGCTGGCTGGAGCTCCAGTCTTCCTGTCAGGGGAGGGATGCTCCCGGGTTCCCTCGGGGCCGAGTCCCATGTGTCTGCTTTTCTGGGGTGCTTTGGCTGCGCTTCCCACAGTGGCTTCCCACAGTGGCTTCCCCAGATGTGGGATACTGTATTCAGTACGGGAGCCCCAGCCTGTCCCCAAGGCTTAAAGGGTGTCGCCCAGCTCGCCCCCTGGAGGCCACCTACCAACCCCAGGTGTCAGAGGTCCCAGGTGTCAGAGACCCCAGATGTCAGAGACCCCCAGGTGTCAGAGATCCCCAGGTGTCAGAGACCCCCAGGTGTCAGAGACCCCAGGTATCAGAGACCCCAGGTGTCAGAGGTCCCAGGTATCAGAGACCCCAGATGCCAGAGACCCCCAGGTGTCAGAGACCCCCAGGTGTCAGAAACCCCCAGGTGTCAGAGACCCCCCAGGTGTCAGAGACCCCCAGGTATCAGAAACCCCAGGTGCCAGAGGCCCCAGGTGCCAGAGACCCCAGGTGCCAGAGGCCCCAGGTATCAGAGACCCCAGGTGTCAGAGGTCCCAGGTGTCAGAGGTCCCAGGTGTCAGAGACCCCCAGGTAGCAGAGACCCCAGGTGCCAGAGGCCCCAGGTATCAGAGACCCCAGGTGTCAGAGGTCCCAGGTGTCAGAGACCCCAGATGTCAGAGACCCCCAGGTATCAGAGACCCCAGGTGTCAGA